ACCTTTGCGAGGCACCGAACTGTTGTTACCTTAATTGTTGCTACGCCAAAACATATAAAGCTACGGTCAAACCGAATGAACTCTGTAAGGCAAGTACACGTGCCAAGCTTGATAATTATTTATTTATTGAGGTCTGTTGTAGGACACGTGATTTTTAACACTATCTGCTATTATTATGAAAAAAGCACTCGTTTTGTGGCTCGTGATAGATTATCTTAATTTCGTATATTCATGAAAAAACAAGTTACACGAGACTTCTGCTTACACGTGAATTGTATAGACTTAGAGTACTTACCTACAATGTGTTTATTTCGCTTATTTGCTTTGGATTAAAAGGGTTTTTTTAAGGCTGGTGTGCTTGTTGTTTTCTCTGTAACTATTAGGTGTACTCTGTAACTATTTAGGTGCCTATATCTATTTAAATATCCAGGTCCACTGTAAGAACTGTGCATTTTATAAATATTTTCAATTCGATTTATTCAAATAGCGACATCAGTTAATACCAGACGCTGGTCAAGTTGTCAATTGTAGACCCCTCGTTCGTTTGTATCTCACAATTAAATTGACCCCTGACATGTTTATTGGACTGGGAATCGTTTTGAGTTGATTTTTAAATTCGCCTTCCTGTGGTCTTTTAGGTCCTTGGTCGAGAAATACCTACTAATTATTCGCTTTTGAAAAATATTTTATCTACATCGGTAGAATATTGATATTGTGCTGTGTCCTTAAATAAATAAATAAATAATAAATGTCTTTCAATATTACAGACATACGAATATACCTAATTATAATAGTAAAAGTAATAAAGAACACCAATATTGTTGATAACTAGAACTCATTTGGTAAAGACTTAGAAAAACGGGAAAAACGCCTAAAAACTATTTAATTTGCTCGTTTATTAGTAAGTACCGATTACTTAGCTACTTAATATTAAGAATAAAATTGAAAATTATTTCATTACGTATTTAAAAGGAAGGTGCCTTCTTGTATATCACGTGGCCAAACTCTACATTTATGTAATAAGAACCAAGGGTCAGAAGCTGACTCCTTACGCAATAATTACATTTTTTTACATGAGAGTAGGTAGCCAGCTTACTCAATAAATCTTACACTAACTCATCAGGCTATCGGATAAGCCATTTTATAAACAAAAGCATCTAGAAAACACTAAATTAAGATATCACCGAATCGCAAACATACCTACGCAGCACATATGAGGAGTCAAAAATGATACACTCTTTAGCTTAAATCGGTACGATACGGGTTCAAATAGGTGACATGGTAACACAATAATTTAAAGATCATGCTTTCTTATCTGTTACGTCAAATAACTTGTACTGCGTATAGGATGAATATACGTCATATTGCGCAGATAAGTATTTTTTGTATTAACCAACATTGTTTAGAAGAAATTTACCTATTATGAACAATATGGTGCAATACTACAGTTTAACTTCGTAATATTTATTTAATAAATAATAAGTTATCAATGCATGTGTCAGACATAACAATAAATTTCAGGTACAGCAAGTACCTACATAAATATTTGTTTTCTTTTTTCAATTAATTAAAAGCCAAGTTCAAGAAAACAACTATGGTAGGTACCTACTAAAATTTCAAAATTGACAATAATTAGGTATACAATTTATTCTTTGCCTGCGTATGAGTATAGGTACTTTTTAATAATAAGGATTTACAAGTGTCTGGTCTGGCATAAGTAGGTAGGTATATCATATTTTAAGGGATCCCTACGTATTTTCAAATGCCGCTGCGACGACGAAAGCTGTTGCAATATTTTTTCCTTTGACTCATAATTTCGAAAGCTTCATCATCATCATCATTCAGCCATAGGACGTCCACTGCTGGACATAGGCCTCCCCCAATTATTTCCACAATGGCCGGTTGGTAGCGGCCTGCATCCAGCGCCTTCCTGCTACCTTTAAGAGGTCTAATATAAGATTTTAAACTTTCGCGTTCCATTTCCATTAAAATAGTAAGACACGGTTCGAAAGCTTATTTTCGAAAAAGATTATTATTTTATTATTGATAAATTTTAAATGCACTGGTGTTTACATTACATTCCTGCTTCATCAATCCAACCGGGGGTGGGAGGTGAGACACTGGTCGATAAGTAGTTAAGTGCAAAGAGTCAATCGCCTCTGACGAAATTATTTTTGATATCAGCTACACTAGACGTAAATAAAACTTGTAATTTATTAACGGGATTGCATCATTCACGACCGACGTTTCTTCTGGAGATAAGAAATGACATCATCCCTTCCTGACTAATTCCTTTATTGCACAATCAAGGAATATCTAAAAATTAATTCTGAATCAATTTTAGCATGTTTTATATAAAGGAATATGTAGTAAAGTGAACCTATTATTATTTAAGTATTTGTCAGAAAACACTAATCTTCTTTGAATTTTATTTTGAGGCCCTTTAAGCAACTCCAATTTTTTGCACCCCGAATCAAGTAATATTTTAATTGCATGTGGGAAGGCGCATAAAAACCCAAGTAAATAAATCCTGTTAAAATCCGTTACAAAAGTAGCTAAATAGGCAATTTTGAATTTTTTTCTAACAACTACGTGAATATCCGATATGAATACTTCGTAATATCCTATATCAATCCCCAAATACACCGAAACAACTTTAAAATTTGGCGAGCCAATAAATCACCAAGTCCCCAGCAACAAGAAGTCCATAAATCATTGTCAATATGGCGATAATTAGCGCATATTAACATATTAGGCGCTTACGCCATTTCTGCCGGCCACACAGTTGTTTGCCGTGGAATCTTCCCGCGCGATAACCCGCCTATCGCACGCGCACGAGACCGCGATCCCTGTGTTGCAGCGCTGGCGCCACGTGCTCGAGAAAAAAGTTCAGAAATGTAAACATATTTTGATTTTTAATTGAAAAATCAAAGGCCTAAAGGTGATCGACACCTGACCTTTAGCCGGGCGATCGGTATGACTAAGCTGCGAAGACTTTGGTAAACCATTATTAATGTTTTTTTAAAGAATGATTCGATGTTGAGAATAAACACATTACCAATCCTTTGTGTCACGCAGTCGGGTAAATAGTGCTGCAATCTTTTAGAGTAGGCGCACACCGTTGATTTTTAGTTGGCCGATAGTTGTGCTCGATTTCAAATTGTATGAAGAATCGGCCAAATCGAATCGGCGTAGTGTGCGCACTCCCATACATGCCCATACTGATCAACTGCCCGACTAAACTATCGGCCGACGAAAAATCAACGGTGTGCGCCTACTCTTAACAAAGACAAAATAGTAATAGCACTAGTTTTAGGTATACGTACTTATGGGGCAAATGAAAGGTTGAAGTCCAACCTAACCCTGAGGCTATCGGATTTTTTAAGAGAAAAAATCTCATAAAACTTATTCATATTTGCAAGTAGGCTTTTAAAAAGCACTTTTGCACATGAAAAATTTGAAAAATCATGTATAAATTCATAGACAATAACTTGCGCACTCCAAGACCGTAACTTTGGTTTGTTTCAGATCACAAGTTGATGATGTAGAAGCCAACGACATCGTTGTGAATAGATTAAAAACACAAAACTTTTAACGTAGATGGCAGTAAGTTTCATTTTTCGCCGCTGATTTATAAAAAATCTTGAGAACAGCGGGAAGCGTTTTACATAATGTTTATTATATCCATAGTCAGACAATAAATACACGGTTTCAATTTGTAAGGTTTCTGCGTTTCACTTAATAACATCGTCATGAAACATCAATGGCACAGAAGAAAAAACATTATTCAACCCATTAACTTCTTTGACAATGCTGTTTTCTTAATTAAAATGTTATTGCTTCAAGCAATTACGATAATTGATGGTTATTTACAGTGTAGTGCTATCTGACAGCTAACCCATTTTTGCGCCCTGAACGATAAGTGGTAGAAAGCAAGGACTCTACGTAGACATACATCAAAACAATATTGCAATAATATTTACATTTGCAACAATATTGGCCTACATCCTACATCATAAAATATTATCTTTATTTTATTGGACTAGAGGCCATAAAAATCTTCAACAACAGGATTATCGTAAAATTGTAATTAGTAGACGTGGACATAAGAGATTAATTTTGCCTATTTATTCTTGATTTATTCTTTAAGACTGTTCATATCTTAAAATACTATTTGACATTACAACAAATGGGCGATTTTCCGATCAGGATAATAATAGAGACAGCGCGTTATACTCCCTCTAGAACGGGTTTCTCGGAATGTGAGTTTTGACACATTTTGTTTATTTTGTACCATAATTTGGCCGCCATTGAAACCCAACCAGTGAAGGTCGAGTGGTCCCCCCTGTCTATCTTATAACAAAGCGGTAATAAAGAAAAGTATTTAACGGTGTCCTTTTATTATAAAATTGGAGACAGGTGACTGAAATGCCTATTTACTTCCACCTTTTTCCTTGACTTAATTAGTAACTTACGTAAGTAGTAGACTTAATAAGTAAGTTGTGTAGGTATGTGTGTGTATTGTGGACCATAATATATCCATACTTTTTGTTATCAATAGCATCTATAGGTTAGGCTTAACTCATAGGGAGCGGCACGGGAGGGTGATTTTGTAACGTCAAACGTCAGCGAGACATTACATATACAGGGTGGAATTTTGTAATGCCACCTGAAGGGAAAGTGCTCTTAATACTGTAGATAGAACATTTTACTCAAAGAAATCATTCCTTTATTTTTTTTTAAAGAAATAGAACTGCATTCAAAGATTTACAAAAATTTGCTTGCTACACCCGGAAATCGAACTAACTAAAATATGTTAAAAATTACACCCTGTATTTTTATTGCATCGATCGTTAGGGTTAAGGCGATTANATGATCGATGAACACTTGAATTGGGAATCACATCTGTCACTTATTACCGGACGTATTAGAAAGTTAATGTTTGTATTTAAAAACCTTAGAACTGTAGCTGATTTCCCTCTCCTGATTAAAATCTATANTAGTTCAGTCCTTGTAAAAATATTGGCGGGTAGTCGCATATTTGCTTCGCCAACTTTATTTTCCTACCGGTCGTTCAACGGTCGGAGCCTCAGTTGCCGGGCGACGTTCAATGCGCACACACGTATGTCGCGCGCTCCGGAATAAGTGACGTCACTCCTTCGAAAGACCGTGTCTTTTGTGATTATTCGCGTGTGTAACTGTGCTCCGTGTGACATCATCATCATCAGCTCCGAGGATTGACTTTAAGGTTAGTGAAGCTCAGATTATCTCTCTATATTGCGAGGACTGATCTACCTTTCATCAATTTTCTACAACAAAAACTATACAATGCACTTTCTAATCAAATATCCATAAATATAGGTGATACACGCAATTTTCAGTACGACTCACGCAAATTACTTGTAATAATGTAGCATAAAAATAATACTATTCGGTTCTCAATTATTATGCCATTCTTTAACACTATAGTTATTCAAAATAACCGATATACAATTTTTAACAAATTATAACCTATTTAATAAATCCAGGCAACGTCCCATTCTTTCTAGCTTTAGCCACATTCTCGTAATAGCAAGAGAAGTCAACGTAACCTTTGATTTTTCTCTCCTTCTCAAACTGCCTCGCTGGGTATATATCTGAAGACGACTCCACTGATCGATCCGATCTGTTTGTATCTACAATCGAATCGTTTGTTTCAATCTCATTCCCCGAAGAATACTGTTCTGAGTCAATCTCATTTAGTAACGTTGTCGATTTGGATTGAACTATCGGGTTGAATCTGACCGATGGATTTTTTGGTATTGGATCATCGTCTATAGGTGGAAGAAAGTTAAAGTTTCTTATTACGAGTGACATATGAGTGTTTGCTTTTGGTGTAAGGTTGTTCTTTACACAGTACGAGACGAATTCTTCTTCTATTTCACCGAGCACAGACTGGCTCACATGTTTGAAGTTGGTTTCCTTGCGGAAGTTTTCTACTATTATTTGGGCCAGTTGTTTATTGGCCTGTTCACAGCTGCCCCGAACTTCTTGGATGCGTTTGTACACTCCAGCACTGACTAGTACTAGGAATCTGAAATGGTTTATACAATTTAATGTTTGTTAGCTAGAAATAGTTTCCAATATTATTGAATGACTCCAGGATGAACTCCAGAAGTGGTGTACATTATAATTTTTTTGTTATATTCAGCAATTTAATAGACCCCCCGCAGACTACAGACTTTTAGTCAGCAGACAGTTGTTCATCATCATCATCATCATAATTTCAGCCATTGGACTTCCACTGCTGGACATAGGCCTCCCCCAATGATTTCCACAATGTCCGATTGGTGGCGGCCTGCATACAGCGCCTTCCTGTTATGAGGTCGGCAGTCCACCTTGTGGGTCCTACGGGACGCTTTACGGTACGTGGCTTCCACTCCAGAACCTCGTTGTTCCATCGGCCGTCAGTTCTGCGTACTATGTGCCCTGCCCATTGCCAGATAGTTGTTGTGTTAAATCGCTCCGTGAACGTATTGGATTTTCGATTCGATCAAAAGTACCACTTGTCTAGACGTACAGACGTTATCTAAGAAGTATTGTTTACCTGCAAGACTCGTCCAAAGCGATGGGCCCGTGGATCTCGGGAGTGGCCACCACCGGCTCCGATGAGGCTGCGCTGATCGTAGGGAAGGCTTTGTAAAGGCCCTTGACTAGATAGTTGCCCAGGCAACGGGTCCCCGTCTGGTTGCCTAGGTATTGGGCTGAAAAATATATTTTAAATCTTATTATATCTAAATCAGTGGTTCTTAACCGGTGGTCCGCGGACCACTGGTGGTCCCTGGAGGCATTCCAAGTGGTCCACGAAGACATCGTAGTAAACAAGTGACGTGACGTGATGAGTCGAGTCAACATAACGCAAACGGCGCACAGTGGGCGAGAAATCGACCTCCCCTTTCATAGGATTTTGAAAAAAAGAATAGTGGTCCCTGACAAGACAGAAATTTGGTAAAATGGTCCCTCGTGATTTAAAGGTTAAGAACCACTGATCTAAATCATGGGCTATACAACAAGCTACGTTTAAAATATTAATAAGTAAAACGTTAAGATGCTAAGTAAGGGTAACCAAAATAGTTTGTATAAGTACTCGAAAAATGCTTTATTTTCCAAACTAGAAATTAACGGGGAAACCTTTGTCCAGCCATGGACGTGATTTGTCGAAACCGATAGAACAAACAGAATTTTCTTACGGTCAAATAAAATAACACACTGTAGTAGGAATGTCACCTTCCTATTACACAATCCATGTTATACTAATAAGATTTTAAGAGCAAAGTAGGTAGGTACACTTTGCTTGACACGAGTATAATGATTATAATCATGGTATGTGCTAAATGCTCTAGCTAGAGTGTACGATATGTCGTACAATAAACTCACCATTCCTCAACTTATTCACATCCAACCCCAACTGCGATAACCTCAACAGCTCATCTTCGTTATTCAAACTATGATCCATCGTCAACTGTACTACCCTCAGCACAGAGTTGTCATCAGTCCGGCACAGTAATGCTCGGGTCTCACCCACATTTGCCACGAATAGTTTGCCGTTCAACACAAGGGCTATAACCACTGTGGCTCCACCGGAAAGGTGCTGGTCTATTTCTTTGAGGCGGGACACTATGTGCTCATATTGGGACATCTGGAAGTTGATTAACATAGAGTTATTATGGAAAATCAGTCTCAAAATTAGATTAATTAGCTTGGTACTTTTATTTTAAGTATTGATTCTTCTTTTTTTATTTTGGCAACAAATTGGTTTTGAGAACCATGATTTCACCAATAGGTATCATTTAAACAGCTTTGACAAAATAACAGAGTTTACAAAAAACAAAAATATTTGACGTTTCTACCTAATAAAACAAATAGATAAATATTAAAGAATTTAATAAATAAAGAGGGTAGGTATGATGTAATTTAAGACGTGATATGTCTAAAGTCTGGTCACCAAGCATGTAGAATTTCGTCCAATGACCCCAAGCTACCTATCCTTATCGCTCGCGCGCAATTATATTGACAGCAATAAAGATAGGTAGCTTGGGGTCATTAAAAACAAATTAGCGTATACCTGTTGTTCCCCCATGATTTGTGGGAGCTGATACTGAAGGCTGGTCCTCTCTGCGATCATGCCGTCATAGTTCTCTATGTACGCTTTTTCTACAGACACGAAAGCGTTTCTGAAAAGTAGTTTAAAACAGTAAATTTATAATAATCATACCTAGAAATAACAAGTTTTTGCAAACGCTTTGTATCTTCTATGGCAAAATAATTTGAGTAAATGCAACATATGAGATTTAAACTCAAATAATAAAATGAAAAAACAAACAACCCAACTGCCTAAAAGTGAACTAATAAAATAACAGTCTTCACAAATGCAGTAGGAAGGAGGCATCAATGACTTATTCTTTTATTTACGTACATTTAACAAATAAATAAGAATTACATAGTGATTACAATAAAACTAGCTTTCCACCTGCAGCTTCGCCCGCGTGACATTTTGCCTGTCACAGAAAAACTTTATTGTCCGTTTCAACACTGGGATACAAAGTATACTGTCCTTTCCCGGGGCTCAAACTATATGCTTTTCATCAAAATCAGTTCAGTGGTTTAGGCGTTAAAGCGAAACAGACACTACAGACAGACGTTACTTTTGCATTTAAAATATTAGTAAGGATATTACTTCTCAAAACTCGTGCATTACCTTAATCTGTCTCTAATCTCCTCATCTGTATTATTGGCGGAGGGCGAAGGGAACAGTATCTCTGCCGCCATCCGCTGCATGATGTATCTCGCTGCTTCCAGGCCATTGTGCGGTTCGAACACACCGTACAAACACCTGGAATGTTTACGAACAAATGTATTAGTCTTCAAGTATCAAATTTTTTATAGGTTTAGGCATGGATTATTATCAATAGAATTTGATGATTTTTTTCTCAGCTTGACCTGTGGTTGACTGGTACTGGTAGTGAATGCTACCAGGTATTAAGTTCGCCACTGTACAATTAGTGCAAAAAGTTTAATTAGTATAAAAATTATAAGATTTTGAAAAGACTATAGGATAACAACATTAGTCTCTTGAAACAGTGATTTATTCTCAAGTTATCTTTTAATTTTTACAACACCTCAGCTTCACAAATCCTATTTATTTCGATAAATCTTTGAGCTTTCAAAGCTACAAGTATACTCATGGGTAGGTCACTTTGTGGACTATTATCAGGCTATAAAACGTAAATGTAACTGCTTCCAATATAAAGTAAGCATCAGAAATTCAGAACAAATAAAATACTTACGAATTATCCTCAGTTTTGCAGTAGAAACAGAGATAGTCGTCATTATTGCTATTATTACCGCCAAGCCTTGAAAAATACGATGCAACGCAAGTGTTCCTGCATTTGGGCAAATCATCCGTGAAAGGTCTCGCTATCATTTTGTTTTATTCTTGATTTTGTGAAGTAATTAGCATGGAATAAAGTGAAATTTGATACCTTTGTCTGTGAACAAAAATATTTACGAAAATTGACATTAATGACATTTTACTTTTTTAGCGCCTTTTTTTTCTTTCTATCGCATTCGCATGCTTCAGCCAGTGTCGGTTGAATATTAATTTAATCTTATTTGGTTTCTTTCTTCTGTTTCTTCTATAATCGTGTAATGTGAACTCATGGACCCTGGAAAGAATATAGGTACCATAGTATAAGATCCCGCTATACAACGACCTTCACCGAGATGCTTATTTGATGAAACATATTTTATATTCAATTTAACATGTCAATAATTATATTGCTTAAGGGTTGCCTAATAAATTNACCCCAACTGCGTCTCCGAATTGCATCGAATCCTATGAAAATGTGGTTTTTGGACATAGCGATTTTTATTTTTCACAATTTTATTTTTAAAAATTACTGGTCGATAGGTTGAATAAATGTTATTAAAAGTTTTTTTCTAAAACTGATAGTTTAGCTGGAAAATAATATTTTCCATCCCAATAGTACGCCGGCTGCGCTCGATTCGGATATAATGACGTCACGCGGCCCTGCGTACGTTGACTTTTAGCGGCAAAAACGGCCTATGTTTATTACTTAATATCTTCGTAAGTAATGGTCCGATTTGAAAAATTCAAAAAGATATATCTTTCTTATGTCATAAAGATTAACGTAGATACTAGTTTTATTGAATTTTCTACAACAGTACTGATCCTCATTGGCACTTTAATCATAATTAATAAAATTATGGATGGATATTGAGATTCTGTGGTTAATAATAGCTCTTTCATTGCATTCCAAATAATAATGATAAGTAAAATTAATGATAGCAAAGTCAAGAAGTATATCATTTTGTCATTGGAATTTGACCTTTATGAATTACAACACAAGGTCCAACACACAAACTAAGTTGTGGTAATTAAACTTGGCCAAATATGTTAATGATATGCTAATAAGGGTCAGCTCAACAAAATTACAAAGCTTTTTAAATAATTAGAAAATCAAATTGTAAATAATAAGAATGCAAGTGCCTTCTTTTGTGTATATTATTACTTTAAAGCAAATATCGCACGTTCATAATCAAACCGTCACTATACGAAATTGGGAGAAATTGAGTTAACAACGCCATCTATCAGCGCTCCGTGAAAAGTGCATGCTGTAAAAATCCCACGCTTAAAGCTCAAATAGTTCGGCAGATATCACTAGTGTCGTTATGGAGTTTAATGGGAAAACCGGCATTTGTTGTGAGTAACAGTGACACGTTTTTAGCAGTGACGGGATCTGGACGGGCACGCCGTGATAGTTATATAAACTCTGTGTTGAAAAACGTCATTTTTAGCATAAAGTCGCTTTTACTCCAAAACCATAAGATAAGTCACAATAAAATAATACGAAAAACGCCTTAAAACAAAAAGTGACAATATTTCTCTTACATTTTTAAAAATATTGTTCATCACTTCGTAGAATATTGTGTTTATCCAAATAGTGAAATATTAAAACAACAAGAAAGATTTTTAAATGATTAAGTAGTTATAATTTTATCTAACAAAAATGCCACCAGGCAATCCAAACACTAGTAAAATCAAAGAAATTATCAAGGTAATTAGTTTATCGTGAAATATTTTTGCCAAATGAAACATTTGGCAAAACATACTTTGCCAAACAATAATTTGGTAAACAATAATATGCCAAACACGACATTTGCGAGTTAAAAATTTGCAATAAGTTGTTTTGCCAAGTGAAAATTTGCCAAATGAAAATTTGCGAAACGTTGTTTGCGATGTGATAATTTGGGAAACGTTTTTTGGCCAAACATTAGTAATCCATATAGTCAACTATTGAAGCGTTAAATGTAAAAAATAATTAATTTTCGGCCCTTTAACTCAAGATGGTGACTAACGCTCTGACGATGCTCTGACGTCTCGAGTTCGAAAACATACTTTTTTCATAACTAGCCCATACATAAAAATATACTTAATACAAATTAAAACATTTTACTTTCCACCTTTTGCAGGAAATAAACACCTACTGATTGGACTATTAAGTTTAAGAAAATATGTCATAGCATGAAAAATGAGAAAACATCAATTAAATTAGCCTTTTTTTTGACAAAACTCATTATGTAGGTACTCAGTCGTAGGGCGGCATAATCGGTTTTGCACGCGGGCGACGAAACAGCTAGCGGCGGGCCTGATGATTATAATTTTTTAAATGTTCATACAAATCGGATTTTATAAAATTTATTTTGTATGAAAACTAAAAAAATTAAAATCGTGAAATCAAATTTCTGACTTCACCGTACCATTTATATGCCTACTAGCTTTCCGCCCGCGGCTTCGCCCGCGTGGAATTTTGTCTGTCACAGAAAAACATTATCGCGCGCGTCCCTGTTTCAAAAACCGGGATAAAAACTATCCTATGTTCTTTCCCGGGACTCAAACTATCTCTATGCCAAATTTCATCAAAATCGGTTGCGAGGTTTAAGCGGGAAAGCGTAACAGACAGACAGACAGACAGAGTTACTTTCGCATTTATAATACTAGTTGGGAACAAATCGGATTTTATAAAATTTATTTTGTATGAAAACTAAAAAAATTAAAATCGTGAAATAAAATTTCTGACTTCACCGTACCATTTATATGCCTACTAGCTTTCCGCCCGCGGCTTCGCCCGCGTGGAATTTTGTCTGTCACAGAAAAACTTTATCGCGCGCGTCCCTGTTTCAAAAACCGGGATAAAAACTATCCTATGTTCTTTCCCGGGACTCAAACTATCTCTATGCCAAATTTCATCAAAATCGGTTGCGAGGTTTAAGCGGGAAAGCGTAACAGACAGACAGACAGAGTTACTTTCGCATTTATAATATTATAGTTGGGATGTTAACATGGGCTAGTGTCGGCTCATATACCCATTTACCTAACACCCTGTACAATTTTTAATAAATTATAACCTATTTAATAAATCCAGGCAACGTCCCATTCTTTCTAGCTTTAGCCACATTCTCGTAATAGCAAGAAAAGTCAACGTAACCTTTGATTTTTCTCTCCTTCTCAAACTGTCTCGTTGGATATATGTCTGAAGATGACTCCACTGATCGATCCGATCTATTTGTATCTACATTTGAATCGTTCGTCTCAATCTCATTCCCCGAAGAATACTGTTCTGAGTCAATCTCATTTAGTAACGTTGTCGATTTGGATTGAACGATCGGGTTGAATCTCACCGATGGATTTTTTGGTATTGGGTCATCGTCTATAGGTGGAAGAAAGTTGAAGTTTCTTATTACGAGTGACATATGAGTGTTTGCTTTTGGTGTAAGGTTGTTCTTTACACAGTATGAGACGAATTCTTCCTCTATTTCACCGAGCACAGACTGGCTCACATGTTTGAAGTTTGTTTCTTTCCGGAAGTTTTCTACTATTATTTGGGCCAGTTGTTTATTGGCCTGTTCACAGCTGCCCCTGACTTCTTGGATGCGTTTGTACACTCCAGCACTGACTAGCACTAGGAATCTGAAAATAATAAAATAATTCGATAATTTGTTACGGCTTCGAGACAAATCTGCTACCGTTGAAAAGTGGCGAAAAAAATTCGACAATATTGTAGTATAATTTTGATTTTAATGCGATGAAATTCGCAAGCAGCTTTGTCATGTCGATACATCATCATCATCATCATTACATTTTTCAGCCATAGGACGTCCACTGCTGAACATAGGCCTCCCCCAATGATTTCAATAATGACCGGTTGGTAGCGGTGGTACCTTTATGAGGCCGTCAGTTCATGTCTGCATTTTAGAATTAGGTATTTATTTATTCGTTTACCTGCAAGACTCGTCCAAAGCGATGGGCCCGTGTATTTCGGGAGTGGCCACCACCGGTTCCGATGAGGCTGCGCTGATCGTAGGGAAGGCTTTGTAAAGGCCCTTGACTAGGTAGTTGCCCAGGCAACGGGTCCCCGTCTGGTTGCCTAGGTATTGGGCTGAAAAACATATTTTAAATCTTATTATATCTAAATCAGTGGTTCTTAACCGGTGATCCGCGGACCACTGGTGGTCCCTGGAGGCATTCCAAGTGGTCCACGAAGACATCGTAATAAACAAGTGACGTGACGTGATGAGTCGAGTCAACATAACGCAAACGGCGCACAGTGAGCGAGAAATCGACCTCCCCTTTCATAGGATTTTGAAAAAAAAAAATAGTGGTCCCTGACAAGACAGAAATTTGGTAAAATGGTCCCTCGTGATTTAAAGATTAAGAACCACTGATCTAAATCATGGGCTATACAACAAGCTACGTTTAAAATATTAATAAGTAAAACGTTAGATGCTAAGTAGGGGTAACCGAAATAGTTTGTAAAAGTACTCGAAAAATGCTTTTTTTTGCGTCGACGACGATGTAAATGGATGAAGAATACACGTGCGTGCGTCAATACTCGCTCGTGATTGTCCTGTCGATTAGGTATCTGAGGAGGGGTAGTCGCGCGTCTTTTGTTTTCGATGCAAACTCGCGGAGATGAACAGGCCTGGTTATACTTAATAAGATTTTAAGAGCAAAGTAGGTAGGTACACTTTGCTTCACATGAGTATAATGATTATAATCATGGTATGTGCTAAATGCTCTAGCTAGAGTGTAGGATAATGTCATACAATAAACTCACCGTTCCTCAACTTATTCACATCCAACCCCAACTGCGATAACCTCAACAGCTCATCTTCATTATTCAGACTATGATCCATCGTCAACTGTACCACCCTCAGCACAGAGTTGTCATCAGTCCGGCACAGTAATGCTCGGGTCTCACCTACGTTGGCCACAAATAGTTTGCCATTTAAAACGAGGGCTATAACCACGGTGGCTCCACCGGAGAGGTGCTGGTCTATTTCTTTGAGGCGGGACACTATGTGCTCATATTGGGACATCTGGAAGTTGATTAACATAGAGTTATTATGGAAAATCAGTCTCAAAATTGTGAGTATGATGTTAAGATTAATTAGCTTGGTACTTTTATCAATTTACGTATTGATTCTACTTCTTCTTTTAGGTACTTTGGCAACAACTTTGTTTTGAGAACCATGATTTTACCAATAGGTATCATGTAAACAGCTTTGACAAAGTAACAGGATTTACAAAAATCAAAAATATTTGACGTTTCTACCTAATAAAACAAAAAAGACAACACAAATAGATAAATATTAAAGAATTTAATAAATAAAGAGGGTAGGTATGATGTAATTTAAGACGTGAATATGTCTAAAGTCTGGTCACCAAGCATGTAGAATTTCGTCCTATGACCCCAAGCTACCTATCCTTATCGTTCGCGCGTAATTATATTGACAGCAATAAAATGGGTAGCTTGGGGTCATCGGACAAAATTCTACATGCTCGGCGACCCGATTATAGAATAAGATTGTTTTTCCATTAAAAACAAATTAGCATATACCTGTTGTTCCCCCATGATTTGTGGGAGCTGATACTGAAGGCTGGTCCTCTCTGCGATCATTCCGTCATAGTTCTCTATGTACGCTTTTTCTACAGACACGAAAGCGTTTCTGAAAAGTATTTTTTAAAAATGTTAGAACCTATAATAATCATGCCTAGAAATAACAAGTTTCTGCAAACGCTTTGTATCGTCTATGGCAAAATAATTTGAGTGAATGCAATATTGTGAGATTTAAACTCTAAAATAATACAGAACTAAATGAAAAAACAAAAAACCCTACTGCATATAAATGACCTAAAAAGATAAAAACAACAACTTGGTGTTCACAAATGCAGTTGCAGGCATCAATGACTAATTCTTTTATTCACAAACATACATTCAACAAATAAACAAGAATTATATAGAAATCATAATAAAACCAACCGTTCTCCCCGCTTGCCATTTTTAAAAAACCGAGATAAAAAATATCCTGTGTCCTTTCCACCAGGACTCAATATGCTAAATTTCATCAAAATCGGTTCAGTGGTTTAGGCGTTAAAGCGAAACAGACACTACAGACAGACGTTACTTTTGCATTTAAAATATTAGTAAGGATATTACTTCTCAAAACTCGTGCATTACCTTAATCTGTCTCTAATCTCCTCATCTGTATTATTGGCGGAGGGCGAAGGGAACAGTATCTCTGCCGCCATCCGCTGCATGATGTATCTCGCTGCTTCCAGGCCATTGTGCGGTTCGAACACACCGTACAAACACCTGGAATGTTTACGAACAAATGTATTAGTCTTCAAGTATCAAATTATTTATAGGTTTAGGCATGGATTATTATCAATAGAATTTGATGATTTTTTTCTCAGCTTGACCTGTGGTTGACTGGTACTGGTAGTGAATGCTACCAGGTATTAAGTTCACCACTGTACCAATTAGTGCAAAAAGTTTAATTAGTATATAAATTATAAGATTTTGAAAAAGACTATAGGATAACAACATGAGTCTCTTGAAACAGTGATTTATTCTCAAGTTATCTTTTAATTTTTACAACACCTCGCTTCACAAATCCTATTTATTTCGATAAATCTTTGAGCTTTCAAAGCTACAAGTATACTCATGGGTAGGTCACTCTGTGGACTATTATCAGGCTATAAAACGTAAATGTAACTGCTTCCAACATAAAGTAAGCATCAGAAATTCAGAACAAACAAAATACTTACGAATTATCCTCAGTTTTGCAATAGAAACAGAGATAGTCGTCATTATTGCTATTATTACCGCCAAGCCTTGAAAAATACGATGCAACGCAAGTGTTCCTGCATTTGGGCAAGTCATCCGTGAAGGGTCTCGCTATCATTTTGTTTTATTCTTGATTTTGTGAAGTAATTAGCATGGAATAAAATGAAATTTGATACCTCTGTCTTGCTCTGTCTGTGAACAAAAATATTTACGAAAATTGACATTAATGACATTTTACTTTTTTAGCGCCTTTTTTTTCTTTCTATCGCATTCGCTCGCATGCTTGAGCCAGTGGTCGGTTGAATATTAATTTAATCTTATTTGGTTTCTTTCTTCTGTTTCTTCAATAATCGTGTAATGTGAACTCATTGACCCTGGAAAGAATATAGGTACCAGCGTCTGCTAACTAACTTGAGCCTTCGGACAGCTTCCGTTAATATGGCCACAAATCCGACCCTTGCCTTGTACTTACAGTAATTAATTTCGTAGTCGTACACAACTAGGTCTAATTTGTTAATTAATTACGTCGTTATATAGGTACGTCTTAAAACTAATGTTATCATCTACCATACCTACCTATTGTAGGTACCAATTTTTTTCCCACAATAATCAAACCAAAACTCAACCGCAATCGCGTTCGAGCTTCAAAACCGGCGGGCGATAACTATTCCTTGTTATGAATATTAGATCGCCTTGTATTGTTTATCGTATTAATTTCCTTTTTGATAGCCTGATATTATTTAATTTTACAGAGAATCAAGACCTAAAACACCTACTTTACTTACAACCATTAGCCACGTTCTTCCTGTAAATTTAATGGGAAGACGATGAGGGTGCAACCAACCTACCCAAAAATTAAACTTTTTCAACTGATTTTGAACCTTATCACTATGACCAATAGGCTCAAAATGTACTGAGAAAATTTTATTTTATGGTAATTTGTGCAGATGCGTCATGATGCTTCATGGCAATGATGATCATTTCGATTTTTAGCTGTGAATGCAGATTTATAGGGCTAAGAAATCCTTAACACACAGTCCAAAAATTTTTGTTCTACGACAAAAATTGACGAAGTTATGGCCAAATTACTAAAAAAGTTCACTGACCGCCCGGCGCGGGGACGATGACGTCATTATATCCGATCCGAACACTGCCGGCGTACTGCGTGGATAGAAAATATTTTTTTCTAGCCAAACTATCAGTTTTAGAAATATTGTAAATAAAAAAACAAACATTCCTGGACCAAAGTTTTTATTCTCAAAACTCCAATCTTTTACATTTTGCAATTTTTATGGTTTTATTATACAATGTTAGCTCTGTTATCCTAAAGAGCTAATCTGTGACTAAACTTTCATTTTTTAAACCTATTTAACTTTATTTTTAAAATGAGAAAGCAATTCTTTCAACCAGACGTCATGAACCAACAACTTTAGAAAATACCATTATTAAAAAATATTATAAGGTGATCTACACCTTTATTTACTATACATATTATTATATCGCTATTTTCTGGTGCGCTGACAAAAATAATGTATAATATGCAATAGATTTTGTATATTTATGTGTCTATATAGCCAATATCTCAACAATAGGTTAATTACAACACTTAGCTAAGGCCTATTTATGAGAAAATCGACACATTTCCCTTTTATGTTACATTACAGTAAGTATTAGTGCATGGAAAAGGAGACAAGCATTATCGATTCAAAGTAGAGATGGCTGTATAAAGGATTTCCAAAGGCCCGAGTAAAATAAAAAAGAAAAAGTGATGTTCCATTGTATACCACAATACACATTTACATAATTACGATTTCTACAATAAATGCGAAACAATAAATTCGAAATACATTTATTCAGGAACACAAAACAGTTCAAACTAAAAAAACAAGTTTGAGACACACCTCGTGAGCCTTTAGAAACCCTAGCATTAAAATCACTTCATCGGATGAGCAAAATTAAAAACTAGACCGATCAAATTAAGTGGATGGGTTGTTTAGTCGGTTTTCTTGTCTGCAGCTTTGGTTTCTGTTTCTTTTTTCTCATCTTTCTTTTCCTTGTCTTCGGCTATGACTTCCTTGGCCTCCTGTTTGGAAGCCTCGTCGAAGTTTCCGACAAGGTTAGGTACTTCGTCGTCCTCTTCATGTGGTTTTGGCGCGGCGACGCTCGACGCGAGTCTCTTCAGCTGGTTCAAGCCTTCGGGCCCGAGCTGGCTTAAAATGCCAGGGAGCATTTCCGCGATTTGCTTGTTCTCCCCATGACCGGTGATCGCAAAAGTGTTTGCGGCAAGCGAAGCCTGGGCCTTGGGGTTATTAAAATGTATCACTGTACCGTCATCCTTTATCATATTAACCTCCTCGATACCAGGAATAGTGTTCACTGATAGCTTTTTGAGGGAAGACTGTAATTTCTTGTCATCTGTAGCCGCAGTCGCGTGCACAACCTTCTTCTTACGCCTTGGTGTGCCTTTGCCCCCAATGCGCACTTGTGACTGCAGTTTCTTCAGCTTTTCCGTGTTCATTTTGTTATTTTAACACGCGTACCTGTCGAGAGAAACACGACGCACTTTTTAGTGATGTTTGGTTAATAATTTCAATCGCGAGCACACGAGTTTTCCATGTAAATTGGTGGTACGCACGTGTTTTGAACACCGGTAAGTTACAAAGGGAAAATGGTGGATTTGCGACAAGTTATTTCTGAATTTTAATGTCTTTGTGTTGGCAGCTTTGATTCAAGCTTCGTTCTGTTCTACGATAAAATGACTTGCTTGAAAAGAACCGAAAATCTATTATCTCATCAAATCAATTATTTGTGTTCCACAAAAATATTTTTTTAGCATCAAATATGTAATTTTAGCATCTAAAAATATTATTTACCTACTCTTCTATTTCTTAATAATAAATGAAAACATTATCCATAAAATTATTTAGAACTTTAAAATGTGGAACGGAACGTTAATTAAAAAATACATGTGTCNGATGTGTCAGTGTTACTAGTAACAAAAAATAAAAATTGTCTTGGAATGTGTACAGCGACATCTACAAGTTTGACTTAGTACTTTTCTTAGTTAAATTAACAAAATATAGATGGAGCTATCCAGTACTTTATTTAGTTTCCAAGACAACCACTAGATGGCAATAGTAGTTTGAAAAATGAAAAATCACGAAAAATAAAATAGTCGGCAAGCAGGGTTCAAAATGATTGATAAAGTGTTTGTGGTTTTTAATTATCTAATTAGTGATGCCAAAAAAACTGTAATCGTCATGCAGCAGTAAGTATTAAATAATTATATTAAAAGGTATTTAAATAATAATAATAAATATCCTTGGACATTTTTACACTGCGCCGCTAGCCCCAAACTAAGCAAAGCTTGTATGTACTATACTATTATACTACTTACTACTACTATACTATATGGGTACTAGACAACGGATATAAACATACTTAAATACTTTTTTTTTGTAAATACATACTTAATATACATAGAAAACACCTAGACCCGTCACAGAAACTAAAATTCATCATTTCAATTTCTGCCCGGCCGGGAACGAACCCGGGACCTCTCGGCATAGTAGTCCGTTCTGAACCACTACACCAAACGGCCGACAATAGTTGTAGGTAGGGTAGTTACAAGAGCAGTGGCAGTTCCTTTAGTTCAGTCGGAAATATTATTATCGTTTTCAACATTCAACGTCTGAAGCTTGAAGGGCCCAGGGCCTCCAAATGTAAATATTACTTAACCCTAATAGCTCGTTGGGTCATACGCGGGTCACCCATGGTCTTTGAATTGACTTATCTGCCATGCCAATACTAAGTTAAAGCTGAGTTGCACCACCTTATTTTAATCGTGACTATGACCATAACCGGTGTTTTTTTGTATGGACTTTTGACGTTTGTTAAAGTTAAAGTAAGATGGTACAACCCAGCCTAAGTATTTAAACTTTTTGATGATTTCATGGAGAAGTTTCCAATAAAAAGTGAACTAAACCGTCATCGGGCCGCCTAAACAACGTTTTAACCAGGCCGCATCATCAAGCAAAACCGTCTATTTCCCTAGAATCGCCCACGAAAATAAACTGAACTCATCAAGTCGTAAAACTGTGTTATCGGCTCAATAAATATTTATCTGCATTACCAAATGGGTTACAATATGGCGGCGTATAAAGCTGTCATCGGGCGATCGGTTCGCGCCATCTTCTGAAGTGACTTGACAGCTATTAATAATTCGAACGCAATAGCGCGGTTCGCTAAAACGCGCGATGTTTTACGCACTTAGCGCGAGGTGGTGACAGATGTACTTGTGCGTGGAAAATTGTTTAAGGAAATCATTTATTCTAAGTCAAAGGTTTTTGTCCAGCAGTGGACGTCATTTGGTTGAAACGAACGATTTATACATACAGCACACAGAACACATCATCACACTACACTGCTTCTTCGGTGCCTAATGATAATTTAATTCAAAGTCAAAGTCAAAATTTCTTTATTTGTTTAGACTAATAAATAGTTCTTACAAATCGTCATTTTGCTCATAAGGAGCCTCTACATGTCTCATAATCTTTTTACCCTACCAATTTTCAAACCCACCGGTCGCAGGAGGCTTATGGGTTATGTGGGACTCTCCCAACCAGAAGGCTAAGCCCTACCCACCCCAACCCTAGTTTTTGCAGCAATGGATACAGCATAAGGTTGAAACCATGTCAATTTTATCACTAAGCACTTCTCTTCTCGCTTGTACAACTTCTGACTAATAAACTAATGCACTTAAATTTGTGTTCCGTTACGCGTTTACTGCTTTTTTATAATCATAATAATAACTTTCGGCCGACCCACTGAGTAATGATCCGAACTGTTCCAAATGTATTGAAATAATAAATGTACTCCAATAAGTGCTAAAATGTATTTGAAGTTGCGGAACCATAGAAGTAGATTCGTTTTAATCTATTCCGTCCACTGCTGGAAAAAGCTGTCCCTCATGATTTTCACAACGATTGGTCCTGACTCCTGCGTTTCATCCAGGTGCTTCCCGTCGACCTTCTCTCAAGCCTTCACTAGATGATCGGTCCACCTTCATTACGTTTTCCAGTCCGTAAAGCATGTAGATTATAAAACATTTTTAAAGGTACCCCTACTGGCGATTTGTAATAAACAATTAACTAATATCCCTGTTAATCTTTCCATATACACGGTTAATCTGTCTAACAGGTAAAGCGGCTGTCGAAAGTTTCTCCACAGTTAGTATTGTTGCCTCAGTTAGGTATAATTCAATTTTCTTCTTACAAATTAAACGTTATTAACTAATCATTGCACAATTTCAAGATAGATCTACTAGTCAGTTTTTTTCGTAAGCAAAATAAATACATACTTGAATGTC